TAATTTGTCATCTCCTTGCAAGGAATTTCTCTATAAAATTTTGTTGGGTCCCAGGCCATGTAGGAATAAGAGGAAATGAAGAAGCTGATGCAGCTGCTAAGTCAGCAAGTTTTTCTTAGCATACAATGCGTATTGAAGGAGGCGATTTGAAGCTAGTCGTTAAAAAACAACTAGCAGAGAGATGGCAAATTATGTGGAATGCACAAATCCACAATAAATTACACGAGTTACAATTTTGTGATACTCAGGATATATTCTTTTCTTCTTAATTGATGTTTTAGACTATTTACAAAAAATTAAAATTTTTCGAGTCTATCTTTTAAATCCTTTTTACACCACCACAAAAGTAACAGTTTTAAATTTGCTTTGNGTCCATCTCAAAACACTTTGTTAATGAATAAAAGGATCTGACACTGTAAGTGATAAGCTGAATGCGCACCTGTGTAAGCTTAAGACCAAGAACGAACTTTTTCTCTAAGCTGTACCTTTAAAAGGTTCAAAGATTTTAGACATCTACTCTTCAAATTGCGCAAGTGCGGTAAAAACGTCAGTTTATGGTCGAACAAAACACCCAAAAATTTTGCCTCATTCACCATTGGGATTTTGACCCCATTTAAGTAGATTTCAGGATCCAAGTGTAAACCACGCCTTCGACAAAAGTGAATACACAAGGTCTTCTCCGTGTTAAAACTAAAACCATTAGTCTTGGACCAATGGTCTATGTGATTTAGGGAGGTTTGCAGTTGTCTCTCGATAAAACTCATATTACTCGAATGACAGGAGATCTGAAAGTCATCCACATACAAAGAGTGTTTCACACTGGGAGGAAGACAGTTAGCTATGCTATAAATTTTAATTAGGAACAGAGTCACACTCAAAATAGAGCCTTGAGGAACACCTTCTTCTTGCGTGAAAGGTCTAGATAAAGTGTTGCCCATCCTAACTTAGAATCTTCGATTCTGTAGGAAGTTTTTTATAGAAATCGGCAAGTTACCCCGCAATCCAAATTGGTCCAGATCACGTAGTATCCCGTATCGCCAACAGCGATCATAGGCCTTCTCTATATCAAAAAACACAGACACTAAGTGCTGTTGTCTAACAAACGCTTCGCGAATAGATGTTTCAACGTTTACTAAGTTATCGGTGGTACTTCTGTTCCTACGAAAACCACTCTGATGTGGTGAAAAGTATTCATTTTTCTATACGAGATACATCAGACATCTGTTTACCATCCTCTCAAAGAGTTTACACAGGCAACTTGTCAGAGAGATTGGTCTATAATTACAGGGGTTCTTGTGGTCTTTACCAGGCTTGGGAATGGAAATAATGATAGATAGTCTCCAAGAGTCAGGAAAAGTATGCTCTGTCCATATTCTGTTAAACAGACACAGGTGATTAGAAAAAGAATTGTTTGACAGACTTTTAATCGTGCTGTAGTGGATTTTATCCGGGCCTACAGCACTATTCCTCGAGCGATAGATTGCTGTATGTAGTTCTATGCTGGTAAATGGCACATTATATTCCTCATTAGATGAGGAGTAGAAGTTTAAATGTTGCTTTTCCTTTTGCACTTCGTAAGCTTGGAAATCCCTTGGATACATTATGTTGCTGGATGACATAGAAAAAGTTTCACCCAATGTATCAGCAATACCCTGTATATCACTGATTACTGTGCCATTACTTTCCAGCATGGATAGATAGTGAGAAGCATATTTTCCATTAATTTTATGGATTTTATCCCAGACTGCTTTTGAGCTAGTAGAAGATGTTATACTAGAGATATACTTCCTCCAAGAATCCCTTTGGCTTTGCCTTCTAATTCTTCTGGCATTTGCCTTTGCTTTTTTAAAAGCAACCAAATTTCTCGCAGTGGGGTATCTTCTGAAAATACCCCATGCTTTCTTTTGGGCTTTAAATGCTGCATCACAATTCTGGTTCCACCATGGTTTAGGATGTTTTGGATATCTAGTTGATGTCTTCCCCATTGTTTTTTCAGCTGCCTGAATAATACTGGAAGTGACAACTTCAACTGCGTCATTGATATCAGCAATATTCACCATATCCTCCGTGATGTTGGCCATAGAGGAAAAAAGAGGCCAATCGGCTGTTTCCAATTTCCAGCGTGGTGGACGGGCTGTTTCACAGATATCTCTGCCTCGATATTTTAGAAATATTGGGAAGTGGTCACTGGAAAGTGGATTTGATCCAACCTCCCATGTAAACGCTGAAAACAGGTTGGGAGTGGCTAATGAAAGATCAATGGCAGTGAAAGTTCTTGTTGGGGCATGGAAGTATGTCACATCTCCAGTGTTAAATAAATACATTTGCTGGTTGCCTATGAGTCGTTCAATGGCTCTGCCTCGACGATTAATGTCCGGACTGCCCCACATAGGATTGTGACCATTGAAATCACCCAGTAGAAGGAATGGTGTTGGCAGCTGTTCAACTAAGGCATCCAATTCATCTTCCTTGACTCTGACATCTGGTGGCAAGTATATAGAGCAAACTGTGACAGTTACTCCAATAGAAATTCTGACTGCCACAGCTTGTAAATCGGTGGTTATTTGTACCAGCAAAGATGGGATTCGATTGGAAACCAAAATAGCCACACTGCCACTGGCTCGGTTGTGGCTATCATCATTCTTGCGGTAAAGATTGAAACCTTTAAGAGAAATATTTTCTCCAGGTTTTAGATGGGTTTCCTGTAATGCCAAACAGAGAGATGAGGTGGATGATGTCGAATGTTTAATGTCAGAGAAGTTGTTGCAGAAACCACGACAGTTCCATTGAATTATTTTATAACCCATTATGTGTTTGAGGCAGCATTCTTTGCAAGGGTATCCCTCTTTAATTTAACAGGCAGTTTCTCTTTTGGAGGTGACTTTGGTTTTGAAACCTCCATATAAGGCTCTTCATCAGATATGTCAGAAAACTCACTCATAGATTGAGCTTCTGATTTTTTTGAGACTTTAGAGAGGGCTGCTTTCACTCTTTGTTTGTTAAGTGGGTTCTTACTGGCTTTTTTAGAACCCACATTTCTGGTTGTTACTCCCGTTTTAGTTACAGAGGTTTTAGTCTTTGTGTTCTCCTTTTCTTCTGATTGTGCAGATGGGATCAATAAGCATTTTGCATGGCGAGTAAGAGATTCACTTGGGGATACAGAAATATCTGTTTGAACCCCACATGTCTTTGTGAACATTTTACATCTGATTACAAGAAGGAATTCCTGTAAGTACTGTTTTTCCCTATTAACGAACGGTTTTTTCCACTTTCCAACTCAGGCACGGTATAGGAGCTACTGCCTACTTGGTGCCGGTGACCCGTTGCGTCGTGTCAGTTTTTGGTCTGGAATTATCCCTTGCTTTTTGTCATTCCCTATCTGTTCCTTATGGGTTCAAATATTAGAGATAAGTTTCTTGAAGAAGCCTACAAGGCTGTTGATGAGATTAAAGGGTACTTCGCGTCCAACCCTAATGGGAAGCTTTCATCCAAAGAGAATCTCAGATATGTAACTGATCGCTTCACTAAGGTGATGAACCTTGCTGAAATTGCGATAGAAAGTAATATTATCTCCGAAAGCCTTGAAAAGAAATTATCATCCTTAGCCACTAAAGAGGACATCAAAAGACTCGCGGAAAAGCATAACGAAAGAGCTACCACTTCGCTCGAAGAGGTTAAACTGGGGTTAAACAACCTAGAAAAATCGATTTTCAGTGAAACGCTTAGACGTGAAGAAACCAATATTCCAAGCTACAGTAACGTTCTTAAACAAAGGTTAAATACCCCTCAACTCCCTGTTACTCCCCCTTCACCGTGTTATACCGTATTAGTCTTCAATGATGATAAATCTGAGTCCTCTGAGCAAACAAAAAAGCGTCTGATGAAAAAGATCAAACCGCACTCAATAGGAGTGGGAATCAAACGGATTAGGGACATTAGAGGCGGGATAGCTGTAGATTGTACTGAAAAGAGCCATGCCGAACGGTTAGACGGAGAAATCTCTAAACTTAAGCATCTAGGACTAGGGTAGCTGACAAGCACCTCCCTCTAATCAAGATCGCCAATGTTCCAAGTGACATCAAGGAAAACGAGATTCTTCATTTCTCTTATCACCAAAACGAGTTCTTAAGAAATGCTTACAGCGAGAGACAATTCAACGAAAAGGCTAAGATCAAATTCCCAATGAGACAGAGAAACTCTGATTACACCTCGTGGGTGATAGAGGTTACCCCTCAACTCAGAAATACAGTTCTCGAAGAAAAAAGATTAAACATTGAATGGAACAGATGCCCTGTTTACGACTTTGTACCTCTCACACAATGTTTTAAATGGCTCGCTTTCGGACATCGGGCAAACACCTGCACTGAGGACCATCCTATCTGTAGCCACTGCAGTGGTAATCATCTACGTAAAGAATGCACCTCCACTGGAGAGAAGCCAAAGTGTGTCAACTGTGCAAAGGGAAATCAGCCTAAAACAGATCACAACACAATGAGTAGAGAATGTCCAATGCTCCAAAGGGCTAAGACTGAGACTCTTCACAGATTTGAATATGCTACATAATTGTATCGGTTTGCATGTGCACGGATTTGTTTGCGTTAGCCCTATTTGTCCACGTATGGTTTATGTTCTTGTCGGCCGATTCAATCAACAGTCACTCCATTATTTACTACATTCCCTGCACTGATTCTCTGTTATTAGCTGGTCAATATCACATATCTGTGTCGCTGAGGCTACTCGGCCTTAATGTACTGTGCTCTCTTGTTTGTCAACCTGTATGTATCCCAGCATGTTTCCTGTATTGTCATACTATTCTTTGTTTTACTGTATGTTACTACTTACCATTGTCGCGCCATTTGCTGTTTATGTTTTATTACTGTATTCACTTGTATGCCTACTGTTTGCCAATGTACTTTGTATGTTTTGTTTTATATGTCAATAAATGCCGATGCAGGTCGCTCATGGGTCCCATGACCTCTGGTTACTACTTTTCTTCTATCCTATCCAACTTTATTTCCCCTTCGCTCTAACCCCTCCTTATTCAACTTTATATCTTCCTCCTTTTCCAATCTAAAACAGGCTATACCTCTGAGTTCGGCCTCGTTCCCTTCCTCAGCACTGTCTCGACGAATCGAAATGCGTCGGACAGAAGTGACACCCTGGTCTAACAGGCCAATCTGAATGTCTGATTCGTCTTCAGACATCAAATCGAACTCAGATATCACACCACGTGATGAGTTCAAACTTCTGTGTGGTGTGACTAATATTCCCATGTCTCCAAGAGTCTTCATTGTTGAAAGCTTTGTTGTTTGTTGAGGAGAGGCTGTTTCCACTAGTAGGTCCCCTGACCTCAATTTTTGTATCTTTTTTAAATGCCCGATGGTTGATTCAAAAAGCTTTTGGATCAAAAAAGGAGAACACTTAGCAAGGGGTTTTTCTCCAGTTGCATGCACTATTAAGTAAGCAAGTTGGCTGGAGGTCTTTTCTTTTGTCGTTGATATTGTCGTTTTGTCAAAATGTTTGGAATTTTTTGGGTCCATGATTAATGTTTAATTATTCGGCTCCTAGTGACCCCACCCACCATGGGGCCCAAGAAGGGGATGCTGTCACATGGGAAACTCCCATAGACTGTCACATCAGGGTTTCCCAGGAGCTATACCATCACAATACAGTCAAGAAGAGCACATCTTGTCTGACATGTCCGCCCAGTCTGCATCGATCAGTTGACTCCAGGCCGAGGTCAAATGACTCAACGACCAGCCGATTGACTCAAACGGAGCCTGATTTGAGCCTCCCATTTATCCGAAGCAAAGGCCAAAGCAGTGTGTTGGGGACGTTATGTTGTCCCTCAACTACCAGGATCCCCCTTTCTGGCATACAGGACACCACACACGGCAAACACGTGTGTGGGTGTTCAGATCCCAGGGATGGTAAAGAAAAGTTACTAAACCATCTCTGGGACGTCCCCTCACCACGGACAGGAACCCACACCGAGGGGTCAATCACACGAAGTGCAGCACGCTTGCCGTACTAGGTAAGTTGCACACCGCAGGCGCCAACGTCTTCTCCCTCGGCCAAACCGACCTCCCAAAACTTGGCAAGAAAGATGCCTATAAGCATCTTGGGGTCCCCACTGGATTCTCGAGATGTGACATGGAGGCATCCACCACCGATGGCGTGATACAAGACATGAATAAAATCGACACATCCCATCTGGCGCCCTGGCAAAAACTCGATGTGCTTAACACCTTCATTATACCGAGACTGTCCTTTTGCCTTACCGCAAGTACAACACTCAATAAAATAGACAGAATCCTCAAGCGCATCGTTAAAAGGTGGCTCAGCATCCCACAACGTGCCAGCGCCAAGATCGTGTACCTGGCCCACAAACAAGGAGGCGCCAATGTGACCCATCCAGCCTCCTTTCTAACATAGCACAGGTATGCCACGCCATGCACCTATTCCACTTCAAGGACAGCAACATCGTCAACGTAGCACTTGGTGCCTTAGGTGACGTGGAAACTTCTAGGATAAAACGATCCCCAAACATCGAGGACATCTGCCAGTACCTGGAGGGGTCCATGGAGGGCGATCTAGGAAATCCATCGAAGGATATCACCTCCATATGGACTCGCCTCAAGATGGCCACGAGACGTCTAAAAAAGAAGATCAACATCAGCTGGACCAACGGACCCAACAACGTCCCCACCATCGCTGTCGAAAACAACTGCATCCGGGTAAGAGGCTGCCAACACACACTGGACAAGCTGTTGAAGCATCATCACCTCCAAAGACTAACGGCGAAACCAGACCAAGGTAAGGCCTTCAAGATCACGGCCTCAAATGAAGTGAGCAATCACTTCCTCAGCAATGGCCAGTACACCCGCTTCTCAGACTGGCGCTTCATTCACCGTGCCAGGCTGAGTGTGGTTGCACTACGTGGCCACAAGTGCTTTGGAAACAAAGCCAAAACCTGCCGCCGATGCGGCTTCATTTGTGAAACGCTATCTCACGTACTGAGCCATTGCCCACCCAACTTTCGTCTCATAACACAGCGTCACAACGCCGTACTTAACAGGCTTGTGAATGCTTTCCAGCCAAGGGGCGCTACGGTACTGGTGAACCAACGTGTCCCCGGATTGCAAGAAAACTGCAGACCAGACTTAATCATACTACATGAAGAAACAAAAACAGCAACTGTAGTGGATGTTATGACCCCGTTTGAAAACAGACAACCGGCCTTTGATGCAGCGAGGAAAGAGAAGGAACGTAAGTACCATAACCTCATACAACACCTTCGTAGTCAGGGGTACGACATGTTCTTTGAGGCTTTCGTAATAAAAGCACTTGGAAGATATGACCCCCTAAACGAATCTATTCTTCAACGCCTAGGCATTGGCTATTGATATGCCAAAATGATGAAAAAGCTGATGGTCAGAGATGCCATACAGTGGAGCAATGATATATATCGGCAACACGTGGGAGATTGCTTACGCCGCCCACCACCACTAAACCCCAGCCAAAGCATCAACTAAGCATGTCCACAACAACTACAGACCACCATTGTATTCTATTCAAACTAGGCCAACAGACCCATGTAATCGTGCCTCACCTATGATTGTAAAACGGGAAACTCTAGCTGGCAATTGAGCCCATGTTCGAGAGTATGTTAAAACCATGACACCTCTGTATATTTATCCGCTGGCTGGCAAACGCGCCTATGTCTCGCGTCAATACCTATATCTATTGTACTTATTGGTTGGCAAAATTCATGCCCATGTTGCGGCCAATCGCACAATGTGTTTACACTTTGTACATAATCAACTACTGCCTATGTAATCCCTGTAACTATTATTTGAATTTTATATAAAGGCTTTTAAAATCTGTTCTTATCAGCTTAATATCTGATACGGTTTCTACCAGAGACCTTCGATATTAACCTGATTTTTGGAACTGGGCAGGACAGGGGGCTTGCTCCCTGCCTGCCGCGGGTTGCTCAGGCCTGGCACTATCGCCTGAGATAGCCCACCCCCTTGGGGGAAAATAATAAAAAAAATTAGAAATATTAATTAATAAGGAAAAATTTTTATTCTAATTGCAGATGCATTTCGTTCACGGAAGATGCCTGAGGAGCGATCACAGCTGCAGCAAGACATTCTCCAAGCATGACTGAGCAGGAAAAAAAAATTCGGGCGAATTCCAGAAGGAAAGGTAAGAGGAAATGAGGAAAGCGATGATCCGCCATCACCGCATACTTCCGGCAAGCTACAATGAAGAGGAGAAGGGCGAGAAATACCTTCACGTGCATTTGGTAGAAATCGCTAATCAACAATTCAAATTGAATGAAGAAAAATATAATTTGCAATTTTTTCAGAGTGTGACTACTGTGGACAACATGCATGGCTTGCACATAGAAACCCCACGCACAACAGGAAAGGTAAGCCTCACTCTTTAAATTGAAGTAATGAATGAGCGCGAAAATTTAAGAAAAATAACGGATAAATCCAAATTGTTTCCAAATCTTTGCATCAAAAATATTCCAATATGGAATCGGCAATTATTCTACGTTAAATACATAAATTTCCAATGTATGAAGCTAGCGAAAAAATGTTTAGCATCGAAATGATATCAGTACTAGCACGACGCAACGCGGCTACGGACTGCAGGATATTTTCCTCCTGTGATGAATGGTGATCAACAGGAGTTTTATCCCGTTGTCAGGCCTTCCTCATGCAATACCCGACAATTCCTGTAGCCTTTTGCATCGTCACCTATCGTTTCCTGACGTTCTTTCGTGTGCATTAACAAATATTTGCTGATTGACGTAACCTGGACACACCACAGGTGTATTGTATGTCTCCACACTTGGCCCGTCGGCACCTTTGATGTGTTTTTTATCGCTTCTCGGCCTGATGGCTAAGAACAAAGACTCGTTCCTCGTTGACCTTCTGGTGACCCTCAGACGGATTTGGACTGTGGAAAGTAAGAAAGTGAAATTAGTGACTGGATTGGACTTGGTGAGTTGTCTTATTGCTTTACTACTGCTACTTACCCTTGCCAGCTGATAGCTGGTGAAGCTTGAGTGCATGGATGACTCTGGCCAGAGTCAAAAAGCAGACGTCATGGACACAGATGGGTTGGAGAACACGGCTTTTGAATGGAGTCAAGATCAACAAAATAGTTTTAAACGATTGAAGGGCATTATCACTTCAGCTCCTCTTTTAAAGTCTCCAGACTTCACAAAACCGTTTATATTAGCAACCGATGCATCTAATTTAGCTTTAGGAGCCATATTATCGCAGGAAGAAAATGGTAAAGAAAAACCGATTGCTTATATGCAAGTCGATTACTTCGAAAACCAGAATTAAACTATAGCACAATGGAAAAAGAATGCTTAGCTATGGTATGGATCGTACGTTATTTTAAACCATATTTATATGGACGAAAATTTACTATTATCACAGATCATCAACCGTTACGAAGGTTAATCAACAGAAAGAATTCTACTACAAATTCTAGAATATCTAGATGGATTATTTTCCTACAAGAGTTTGATTTTGATGTCATACATAAAGCGGGAAACACGCATCTTAACGCTGATGCATTAAGTCGCATTCCAATTAGGCAAATAAAGGAACTTGAACCTATATTCTCGAATACACAGATAGGAAACTTACAACAACGCGATATAAGGTGGAAACCTATCATCCAGGTATTAAGGGACGGTATCACATCTGGGAAAATGAATAATTTAGATTTAAATGAATACTATTTAAATGAAGAAGGAGTATTATGTCACAAAGGTACCAATCGGAAAAGAACCGACTGGTGGGAACAAATTGTTATACCTTCAGGTTTAAAGGAATATATATTATATACTTTCCATGATAATCCTATTGCCGGACATTTAGGAGAATTAAAAATGCAAACTAAAATAGGAAAACTGTACTATTGACCAGAAATGAAAAAAGACATTAGAAGTTACTGTCAAAGTTGTGCGAAACATCGACGACGAGGTCGAAAAGCACAGGCAGAATTGCAATTATTCTCGCCTCTTACGCATTTATTCGAAAGAACAGCAATGGATATTGTAGGACCTTTACCTGTGACAACCAGTGGAAACAAATATATCCTGGTATTTGTAGATCATTTTAGCCGATACGCTGAAGCTATCCCGCTACCTGATGTTAGTAGCAAGACGATTGCAAAGGCGTTTGTTACCAATATTGTATTACGCCACTCTACTCCAACACAGTTGTTGACAGATAGAGCACCAAATCTTATCTCTAAGATGTTTAAAGTAGTATGTGAGTTGCTACAGATAAAACAACTTCTTACAACCGCTTATCATCCAGCATGTAATGGCGTAGTCAAACGTTTTAATAAAACGCTTATTGATATTTTATCGCATTATGTAGCAAAGGACCAACGCGATTGGGACGAATGGATCCCATACACTTTATTTGCATATAACACTTCTGTACACGCATCTACCAATGAAAAGTCCATTTTTCCTTTTATATGGTAGAGATCCTACTTACCCGTTTGAAGTATATAATAATCCTGCTACTACTTTGTATGATATTGATGATAATTACGCATCTGAATTAAGGGCAAGAATGAGTTATGCCCACAAAACAACACAGGAAGTAGCCGAACTTGCCGCTAAAGACCGAAGAGAAAGACAGAAAAGGCAAAACAAGCCACCTCATTATCAGGTAGGTGACCGAGTTTTATTAAAAGAAGTTGTCCCCAGAGGAATAAAACAAAAATTAGCTCCAAGATGGTCAGGTCCTTATCGAATAGTCGATATTCTTAGTCCAGTGAATTATCAGATAGAAAATATCCAGACTAAACATAAGTTGAAGGTACACGCTGACTGAATTAAACCCTCTATCGCTAGACAAGAATTTGAGACAAAAAAGGAAATAGAAGAAGAACAGCCGGAAAAACAAGATAAGGGCGATGAAGACGAAATACAAGCCATGGGACAAGACATGACATATATCGATTCTTGGGATGAATTCATTTTAAACTCCATCCCAGATCAAATTTTAGAAGGACGTCCGGAACAGAGAAGCAAAAGTGAAGACTTGGAGAGCGAGAGCGGAAGTTCCGAAGAGGAAGTTACAGAAGTAACTCCTCCCTATGCGTTACGCATAGGGAGGAGTTACTTCTCGTGCCCGTGTCCCGGTCCTGTGCCCGAACAATTTTGGGTGATGCCTCGACCTAGTAGAAGTTGTATACCATGCTTTGTTTCTCCGAGTGTCAGTCGATCATCTTCACTTTGAAATTTAGTCCCAAAGAGACAAAGTAAATAGGTAAGACATTTTACTTCTTAGCATTTTATATAAAATTCTTTTTCATTTTTAGAAAAACAAAGAGTGAATTGAACAGATAAAGAGGAACATCTACTTTTACGAAGTCAAAAGGAGAGGAACAACGGAATATGGTAACGAGTACCAGGATTTGAAATGAACAGCTTAAAATTCAGATACGTCCTCGGTATACTGTACCTTTTTCACTCAAATTTATCAAAACCATTCAACGAATTCAATAAGGGAATTATATTCATTCATCAGGGTAACTTTTTGATGACCTCCAGTCATTGGACTGTGGTTAATGATGTTGACTTCGAGCATTTTGAACAGCAGGTTTTATTTTTGACGCAGTCTCTGTCATATCTATATAATATGATTAGACAGTGAGGAGAGAAACCCGTAAAAAGAGGCAAAGGAAATACTCAATGGATATTACCCACTCAAGGATTTGATTTACTTAAGGCAACCTTTTATAAATATAAAAAGGAATATCTAGAACTAAATGCCCTCGTGACTCTCCCAGTGGAAAATAGAAAGAAAAGAGGATTAATAGACATTGGAGGTAAGGCCTTAAAGTTTTTATTTGGAACTGCCACTTCAGAAGATATAGTAAAGTTAAATACAGAGATTACGCACCTAAATCAAGCTAACGAAGAGATAATTCACTTATTTCAATCCCAGGCAACAATGATAAATGATACCTTGAGAATTAGTAAGTTCAACCGGCAGCAAATAAACGTGCTCATGCACCGATAGAAAACGTTCGACAAACTTATCAGAAAGTATCGTATTAACTTGGCATTTGAAGTAGCAATAAGGACCTTAGAATTCGCCATGCAAGAATTTAATTTGCAGCTTATAAAAATACGGGAGGCCATAGATATCTTGGAACAAGGAAAATTAAGCACTTACTTTATATCCCGGGAGATGTTTTTACATACCCTGAAGGAAATACAACTACAGCTACCCGAGGGATACTCCATGATCGAGACCATACAAGACGATACTCTTTTTAAATACTATCAATGGATCTCGACCATAGCCATAGCCCTTCCAGGAAAATTAAGAATTTTTGCAAAATTGCCGTTGATCACTCCGAGCGGATATTTTGATACGTACAAGATCATCAGATTACCCACTTATATGCCTTCGTTAAAGGCATTTGTTTATTTCAAAACAGAATATCCAATTATTGCCTTATCTATGAATAGGCAATCCTACATGTTGTTAAGACAACACGAGTTGACCAGGTGCAAAGTATCCCCTTTTTCTATATATTCACCAGAAGTACCCACTTGAAGAGCACCACAGCAAAGTTGTGAATATTCACTTTTTATTGGTAATGAAATTCAAGTCAAAGAATTATGTAACAGAATAATAACATTAAAATATGCCCCAGTATTCAGAAGAATAGATGAACAAGGAAGGTGGATATATTCCACCCCCACTCCACTAATTCTAGCTATTAAATGTTCCTCAACCCAACAAAAACCAGCTTCATCACCTTCGTCCATAAGCAAGTTGAATAACACTGGGATAATAACGTTACCTAATGCATGTGTGGGGTATCTGCCTGGTATTATCCTCACCTCTCATTTTCATATGCGATCTACCATTTGTACTGAAATCGCTCATAATTTGGTAGTGCCTCCAATAGAACAAATTCTAAACCAGACGGAGATAAGCATTCTTGAAGAACATATGTCAAAACCT